AGGGAAAAGATGGTACCCTCAAAACTAAAACTCCTCTGCTTACCACATAGTAGCATGTTAGTGTTTTAGGATTCTTCGCAGTTCCTGAAGACACAGTTTACCAAAGTCCTCCTTCATCATACAACTGCTCAGGATGAGAGGACACACTGACCTGAACAACCTTCTGAAGATCAGAGAGACTAGTAAACTGTCCCAAATGCAGCAACAGTTAGCTCTCCTTTAGACTCTTCCATTGAGCAACATAAATAAAATCTGAACTTTCAAATGGCACAAGACTGTATGCCAAGAAGGGTTAATTGGGGGCCAAGGTAATATCCATATACTCTGATCTAATCTTGAAATATGAAGGAGAACAGAAGTTTAAAAGCAAGAAAGTAAAAGGTTATTGGGGAAATCTTAGTAGTTGAAGCATGCTATAATGGTCACATAGATATTAGTTTTCTGAAAGTAACTATGAGAAAATATGAGACATTTAAACAAAATCTGTGCTTATTTTAAAATTAAGACTAGTAATAAGTTACTCATGACTTGCAAAGTGAATAACTTACCAGAGGAAATTCCAGGAAGCAAGATGACTGTAAGAGAAAAGCATCCAGGATTCAAGCATATAGTCCATGGTCTTCCAAATTAAGGTAGGGAAGTGAGCTGAGGAGTGATAGGACCTTAAAATAATCAGCAGTTCCTGGTGGCATTTAACCAGGTGGAAAGCAGTTGCACAGGCAGCTAGGAACCCCACAAGGAAAGGAAACAAACGTGAAAGAGGTGCTTTTACCGCGGGGTAGTAATGGGGACTTATTTGTGGAGATCCTCAGATGAACAAATTGCCGGACTATAGGTCCCCAAGCAGTGGGGAAAGACAGAAGCTGTGAACCCAAGAGAATAGGATGCCTAATACAGACAAATCTGCAAAGGGATGTAAAAGGATGTGTTGAAGATAGGGGGATAGAGAGAACTAGTGAGCAGAGGTGTAGTCATCCGGATAGCTAGAGCGACAGTGATGATTTAGCTGCTGGGGAAGATCCAATAAGAATTCAGGAGGGCGCTGCTTTGGAAATCCTGCACGGACCTTCCCATTCTCAGTTCTTTTAAGAGTTACCTGCGCTGGGAAACGTTATCATTAGGATTGATAGTATTCCGTCAGTGCGTTTCACTAGGATTTCCCTGGAACGTTTTCCCTTGCAGGAACAGAGGGGAGCCACGCAAGGATTCCAACACAACCCACACCCAAACACACCATCAGGGCCGGTCACATTATGATGATCAAATCTTAGCGTTTTTTTTTCGTTGGCTGGGGTTTGGGGCGGGGGGGCTGGGAGAAGAATGGCCAAAGGTGCGGAGAAGGCTGAGTCCCTGGGAGTTTTCAGGGAGGGTTAGCTAGGGGACCCGGAACTGGGTAATACGTTGCCGCGGGGGGCAGCACCCTCCCAAGGTCCCACTTCCCAGGCGAATCCTGCCGCCGGAGATTGACAATTGAATTCCATTTCGAGCTTCAGCTTCTAAAGCCTTGCTTTAAGAAGCTAGATCTTTTGAGTGTTCAAAGGAGGATCCCTGGCCTGGGGAGGGTGAACGAGTGAATGGGAGGCTGTGCTATGACAGCCTGGCATTTGATTGCTGCATGGTGACCGCAAGGGAGAGCGTGCAGATATGGTTTTGCTGTTGAATGCATTATCTTGCTGTTCTGGTGTCCTGATACTGCATGGATGATCACCTGACCCATTCGGTAAGATCAGCCTGATTCCTTCTCCCTTTTCCTCTCCAAGACCCCATTCCTTCTCCAAGCCCGCTCTCGCTCTCTCCCTGCCTCCCTCCCTCCCTGTGTCCCTCCCTCCCTCCCTCCCTCCCTCCCCATTCCTTCTCCAAGCCCAGTCTCTCTCTCTCTCTCTCTCTTCCTTCCATCCCTCCCTCCTTTCTCCTCCATCCCTCCTTCTCCTTCCCTCTGTCCCTCCCTTCTCTTACCCTCTTCTCTTTGAAACCTATTTCCATTAGGGAATTGCTTGTTTGATTGAGAGTTTAGTTGATCATTCTTTTTGTAAATGATTTATGTTTGACATTGGAATGACTTGTCACCTCCCCACCACAAATCCTCTCTTTGGGAAGATCCTAAGTCCACACTCTTAGGTATCCCTGTCTGACCCAGAAGGTGTGTTTAGAGCAGAGCCCAGTGGGAGACTTGCCCTAGAAGCCAGCTCAGTCTTGCTTAGGACCCCGAAGCTTACAAATTATGCATCTCTCCTTTGTAGAAATAGGAGGAATAGATACACTAGAAATTGATTTCTTTCTCGAGGAAACTGAGTTGCCGATTGATAGAAGGAATAAACATTTGCTCTGGATATAAAGGTTCTTGGTAAGTAATCATTTTCTGCTCTTGTAAAGAAAACACATTACTTTTCACTGCCCCATCCCCCACCTCATTCACTTATTTCCTTTCTGTATGTAAATCACGGAGCTGGGTCAGTGGAAATTTTCTTTTCCTCTTTCCTTTCTTTCCTAGGAGTGCAGTAGCCTGTAAGCATGAATTTGAAGTGGGGAGGGGGCTAAAGAGACAGTATAAACACTTTAAGATCCTTCCTAGCCTGCATTAAAAAGTCACACAGGTAAAATATTCTTTGCTCAGGAAAGGGGTATTTATGGATCAGCCTTTCCCCAATTAACTTTTCTTTTCTGAAAATTAAGAGAATGGTTGGGGTAGCAACCCCTTTTCTGTGCTGTTAGTATACATTAAGCTAAGTTTTAAAATGTACTAATTTTTCAACAGTAGAGATAACAATTGTTAATCTTTTCACATTTTTCAGGAAAGTTAACACTGTGAAAATCTCTCATTAAATTTGCACCTCGGTTCTAATTTCTATCTCTGATACAAATGAGTTGCATCCCAAATGTGTATTTGCTTGTTGTGATAAGGCAAGGCTTTCCATAAGTCTATAGCACCCCCAGCCTGTGCATGATCATCATGAAGGGTGGGCAGGTACAGGCGTAGGTGTAAAAAGCCAACCACTTTGAGTTGTGCTTCTACTGTATGCTCCTAATGGGGGAGAATAGTAAATCCTGAAATTTGAGTGACTTTGCTTTGCAGATGCAAATTGACCATTTTGGATGTGAAATATCACAGGATACTTTATCCGAGAGAAATCATTGAAATTTTGAATTATAAAATGCATTTCAGTGAAAAAACATTTATATTATTTTCCCTCTTTTGCTAATTCTGGTATAACACCCTGCCTTCAATTTTTATTAATAAAAGTTCATTGGTACAAAAATTTATTACTCCTGAAGCCAATAAAATGATGTATGTTTCAGGAGAAATATATGCTTTTAAAATTACTTGAGAATAACAAACTCCATATTTGATAACCAACATCACATATAACGGTAGCATAAAATTCAGAAAGAAAACTATCTAAGTCGTCTATTACAGGAACAAATCAAAATATATGTGTGTTCAAGAATCTGTAGTGTTTATTACTATCAAAACCATCAAAGGGAAGAATTTCATAAGGACATGCTGACATAACTTTTCCTTCTCTTTTCAGCCTGTTCTCAGGTCCTAATGCTGTGAGGGAGCCGAAGATTATATTCCATGTCTTATTTAAAAAAGGATGGATGGTTTATATGTGCCTCTGTGTTTTAAGGAGGCATTTAAATGCTGGGAAGTGGATCTGAGGCCACATCAAGAGGATCAGTATCCTCAGATATATTTATTACAAACACAGCTTAACTACTATGGGAATACACAGGACCTACTTTTCATATGGACCACAACATTGCTGCCCAAATACACTTGACTGATGGCTCAGAGAAATAACCTTGTTTATCAAGGACTCAATGTGACTTAAATCAGAAACATTTCACAAGAATGCCTTATTTTATAGTCATCTGTGCATAGTGATATAAACCTGTAATTTGTAATTTCAAAAGAAGCTGAAGCAGGAGGACTAGGGTACATAGTAAGATCTTGACTAGAGAGAGAGAGAGCGTGCGTGCACATGTACAAGTGTGTGTGTATATGTGTGTGTGTGTAAGAAAGAAATATAACATTGTTATTCTTAAATTTTTTATTTCTATTTATAAAAATAAGAAATTTTATAACAAAATATAAGAAAAAATGTTCATTTTTATACTTAGTTTATGACCCTTAAAGTAGTTTTGTAGCATTCCAAAGCAGTATTAATCCCAACACAGTTAGAGATATTATAACTCCTAGTTGTCTTTGTCTTCAGAGTTTATGTGGTTTTTACAGTGCTCCCAAACCTTAGACATAGAAATTCCATGCTGTGTGTTTACACACAAGCTCCCTATGCCCATCCACAGCTCATCATTTGGCATACTTTTTTCTTAGCAATGCAATGGCTTGCTGTTTGCTTTCCCTGCACATTCTTTTCATGAACCACACAAACTAGTATATTTCCAACTATTAACCCTCTAAAAACTCTAAAAGTAGCATTAAAATGTTTTAATAGAATTCAGTTATAATGGCTGAATCTAGATTTAGATAATACTCAGAACTTGATGTCCAGCACAGGAAAAAGAGAAGAAATGAAAACAAACAACAAAGTATATGACAATCATTTATTTTTTTATTTTTATTTTTTATGTGTATGTGTATGTATATATGTGTGTGGCATGCTGCAGGTGTGCAGGTCAGAGGACAACCTAGGGGAGTCAGCTCTCGGCTTTGCCATAATGGTTCATGGGATTGAGCTCAGGTATTCAGATTGTCAGCAAATACATTTACCCTGTGAGCTGTCTCACTGGCTCCACAAAAGAATTTTTATTAAGGAATTATGTGACAAATTGCTAATGAGGTAAAATTTCTATATTTTTCAGATTACATTTAGTATTAATTCCAATTTATAACCAAATATGCTGTAGTGAGATGAAAAATTCAGATTATTGTTTGCATAGGAAAGAGTCATATATACTGACACTCATTAAGAGACTGAAATCTGGGGCTGGAGAGATGACACAGTGTTTAAGAGGACTGGATGCTCTTACAGAGGACCCAGGTACAGTTCCTAGCACTGACATGGTGACCAGCAACTGTCATGAACTCCAGTTCAGGGTATCAGTGTCCTCTCTATTGGGCATTGTATTCATGGATACACTTACATGCAGGTAAAACACTCATACACATAAAAGAAGATATTTAAATTTATTCATTTCATTACCCTTGCATTTATTTTCTCTTCAAAGATTTGTCTTTGAAAAAGTCTAAAGTTTTTAAAGTGCCTGTGTGTATAGTCATCTTCACATATTATTTTATAAGCTCAATGTGCTGCTAAACAAACTGGTTCAGTGTATTTGAGTCCCAAGTTTAAAAAAATGCTGGAACTAGAAAGGTTTGTAAGGAATATTTAGTCAACTCCTTTATACTGATGAAGAAGTTGAGAACTTCAAAGGTGAAATGATTAGGGTAATCATGTGTCAGCTAGTTATTTAAGGCACATGAGAGCTACTTTCCTGACTTGTTCTCTGATGGTCATTGTCTATCACTTACATTTTTCACTTTTCTAAGCAGGCATCATTTGAGATTGAAATAGACAATAAGTGGAAGGAAGAGAAAGAAAGGCAAAGATACTTAGGTGCAGCCCGTCAGCCATCTCAGAGTTTATGTTGTTAAGAAATAATCTCTCTCTCTTTTTTTTTAATCCAGTCACATCTCTGTTTTTTTTTAAACATATTTTATTATTTTTATTTTATGTGTATGAGTGTATTGCCTGCATGTATGTGAATGCATCTGTGTCATGCAATGCTGTGGGGGGGGGGCAGAAAAGGGCTTTGGATTCCCCCCAAAACTGGAGTTAAGGGTGGTTAGTAGCCACCATGTGGGTGCTGGGTATCGAAAGTCATATCCTCTGCAAGAGCAGTCAGTGCTCTTAACCGCTGAGCCATCTCTCCAGTCCCCAAGAAATAATCTTAACTGTAGAAAGCAGCAAAGTCTGTTCTGTATGTTATACCCACAGCCATCACTCCATGCCACCACTCTGACAAAGTTGGAAATATATCACATTGTAGTACCAATTTCTCAGGAAGTACCTTCAGGTTTTGTTTATCCGTGTGTTGGATTGTCTCTAGAATATTTCTTCCTCACAAAGTAAACTGCAGATAATTCCAGCCAAATGCAATTTAATACTTTAGCATATCACATCCATTTTACTTCTTAAATTCTTTTTCAACGTAAAATAGGATTATTCCAATGAGAAAAATGTGATTTCATAATCCTTATATTTAAAGATATACAGCAATTAAAAATAGTCTTGTGATAGAAACATGCAAAAGAAAACATATTTTGTTGAAATAAACAATCCTTTTAAGGCAGTATTATTCTAATACCAAAACCTAAAAAGGGGGAAAAGACACAGCCAAAAAGAAAACTATAGACTCATGTCCCTAATAAAGATAGATGCAAAATCTCTGAACAAAATATTTGCAAATTGCATACACACACACATCAAAAAGATCTTCCACCATGATCAAGTTGTTTTTTATTCCAGAAACATGGGATGGTTCAGTGTACATAAGTCAATAATCATAACAAACCATATAAATAGACTTAAAGAAAAAAAATCACATGAACAACTCAATAGATCAGAAAATGTTTTCCACAAAATCCAACATGTATTCATTTATGTTAAAAATCCTAGAGGGAATTGGACTGAAGAGAACATACCTCTACAAAATTAAAGGTAAATACAGCAAGCATATAGCCAATATCACTCTAAAAGGAGAAAAACTGGATGCATTGCTATTAAAATCAATAACAATAAAAGGCTCATGCTTTTTCAATAAAGTGACTGAAATTCTTAATAGAACAATAAGACAAGAGGAGGAAAATAAGTGGGCACTAATTGGAAAAGAAGTGGTCAAATTATATTTATTTGCAGATGATATCTTATATAAGAGACCCCAAAAATTCCACCAGAAAACTTCTAGAAGAGAAAGGGAGGGCTATACATGAGGAGAAAAAGGAGTGATAAATAATGCTTAGGTGGTTTGAAAAAAACAGAGGGAAATGTATTAATTCAAAAATGTACTGAAAATTATACATTATATGTAATGTATAATGTATAATAGTGCATTGTATAGCTGAAGACTATATAACAAAAACACAGTGCCAGACAGGGGAAACTTCCCTTTGAATTGTTTCTCAGGATATTGCTGTAGCCCTTGATTACCTTCTAGAAATGGATAATAAGACTCTATTGCTAAAGACAGAACCTAACTCAGAAACAGAATTTGGAAGCGTTGAGTTGGGAACTGATCTGGGAGCCTCCACCTTGAAGAAAAACTCCCATAGAATCAGAAGGCAGCATGCAAATTGTCAAGGCAGGAAACCAATCAAGGATTCTATTCAGCTGTAAAGTCTGTGAATCACAATAATGATCAGCCATGCAAATAACCTTTACTGGTACAGTAGTGGCACTATTATCTTAGGGATAATGAGCCTATGGACATAAGGCTCATTCAGTGGGAGGAAACTTATGTGTGATACCGTAAATATTGTCAAATATATATGGCTGAAAAAGTCATAGATCTTATAGAAAAATACACTTATATCACACCCGTACTCCAACATAATTTCTCACTGTATTCTAAATATGTATCCTTATATTCACAGACTAGTGTACCTTTCACTGCAAATCAAAGATGCTAAATTTTGCAACAGATGGAGACTATTATGAAGTTCCACAGTTGTTCAAATGAAGATAATAAGTGTCTGTGAGGTGCCCAGCCCTTAGTGACCCATCAACAACACAATCTCTTCATGTAAGGCTTAGGGAACCTAATGGACAAGGGGACATAAAGAATATTAATGCAACTTTGAGCCCTCACCAGTGAAGTTACCTTTAGCAATAAATGATTAACCAGAAAGTCCAAAATGCAGAGAATAAGAGTTTGCAGAAAACTTATTCCTGAATAGAATTCCTATAAAAAAAACCTCTGCCAGCCAAGGCTCAGGGAACATTGCGGAAGAGAGGGGTTAAAGAGTGTAAGAGAAATCGTTGATGACTACAAGGAAACAGCCTTCCAGAGAGCTGAGAAATTACTCATTTGAACTTACAGCAATGGCAATAGCATGCACAAAGTCCATGAATCCTCAAGTCAAACATAATGCCAGCATTGAAGTGGGGAAGTAGGTAAACCCCAACTTTACCTGAGGAACTATTGGTGACCAATAAGTACTGGGAGAGGGAGAGTTGGTTCTCTTTAATTGTGTGAAGGTAGATTGGTTAACCTGGTTCTAGCAGATGAATACACATAGAAAGACATTTGAAGACTCAGTTTTGGCTCAATAGGACTTAATAGTTTTGGCAGTGTACACGAAAAATGGTGGGAGTTTGTAAGAGCACTGCATATAAAGGAGGGCATATAAATATGATAAAATACATGGTATTAATCTCCCAAAATCAATAAAAAATTTTCAAAATTTCATTTTGACAAATAACTATATTCTTATTTTCCTAAAAGTTATTCTTTCATATTGTGTCTAAACATATTCATTGCATATAAGGATTTCTATATGCTATGCAATTTGAAATACATATAATTGTTCAATATTTAAAGTAGTTTTAAAATAATAAATTGAAAATACTGAAAGAAATTAAAGGATACACTTAACTAAAATTCTTTCTTATATATGGATTTTGATGATCAACTTTCAAATATTCACATCCTAAATCCCAAAAGCTGTGGAAGTTTTATCTTTTGTGACAGAAAATATCTTCAAAATGTTCATTTGGAAGAGTGTAGACCACAGTTGATTTAAGGAATAAAAACTAAAAGTAGGAAGAGAGATAAGAATGAGAAAGGTCAATAGGAACAGGCAAGATTGGGGTTTTACTTCAGGCCATACTGGCTGAGTACCCTCTAAAACCTGGAAAGAAAAGAAAACAGGTAATCCTTAGGGTTACCAAAGAGGCAATGAACCCAGTGAGAATTCTGACCTCCAGAAGTATAAGATAATATGCTTGTATGACTTTAAGTCATCATATTCTTGATAATTTGTAACAAGAATGATGGAAAACTGTTAAAGACATTTACAAAAAAAGTTGGAAGATGAGTAGTATATTCTTTCCCTCTTAAGAACATTGTGATTTAAAAACAAAACAGCCATTCCATTTTCTAGAGAAATAAGAAACCATCGTCTCTCATGAGTCAATTACAATGTTTATCTTCTAACTTAGTTACATAGGAAGTGGATAGAAAAAAAATGGTTGGGAAGGCAAGAAATAGCACTAGTTCCTATTAATAAGTTGCAGAATAAAGGGTATGTAATACCGTTTACCTTTATTTCAAATATACTACTTAACACACAGCTGTAAACATATTAGCACCCAATATAGAAGATACACACAAAAAGTACATATATTTATCATAGATATCTATACCTGTGAGAAATAATGTTATGGTTCATAAATTGAAGACTACGTGAAAAGCATTAATCCTACTATGAAGAAAAGACAGGAGGCACAAAAGAATTATACACAGAAGCTTTCAACATTGAGGAAATATCAAAAAATTTAAAATCTAAAGTGAGACCACAAGAGAATGACTGACAGGGAGTGGGAAGATTTTTCTTTTCATGAAAAGATTAATATGAAGCAATTTGTTCTTTTTCTTCTTATGTTTTTTTTTTACAGTGTCCAATGAAGAGAACAAACTGAACACTTACTTAATTAGGATGCGTCATTAATTCCAGTGTCTTATGAACCCCGGACCCCTTTCACCTCTTTAATGAAAATAAAGAGAAGCTGAACTATTTGATTGCCAATCCTCTTGGTGTCTCTAAAGATAACTAATGCCTATACTTTCTCTTTACAAGAAATATAAACCTTGCAGGCTGATTAAAAACAATCCTTGACATTGATCATCCAGTTTTCGGCTCTGTGGAGAAAACATGAGTTTATAGACAAAAGTAATTTTAAAAGACTATATAAAATGAATTCATTCCATATTTATGGAAAGAAAACACATCTAAAAGTCAATTCAGCAAAAATTTATTGAGCACTTATTTGACATCCTCTGTGAATAGCATCATCTATAAGAAGCAAAATTTTGAATGTTATAAAGATATAAAAGTAAGTTACAGTACTATGTTCTAGTTAGATAACAAGTAAAGTTTACTGATAAATATGTGTATTTTTACTCCTCCATATGTTTCACCCACATCATCAATCATTCCTTTTTTAGAAAGTAAAACAAATATATCGATTGTCATCTCTGGTGTAAGCACTTCCTGGAATAATGTGCTGAATAAGACAATTGAGGGCAAAGACCCCAAATATCATACAAGTATTAGCACAGTCAAATCAGCAAGGTTAGAAAATGGTAAAACTAGAAGGACAAGATTATTGTTTCTATATCTGATTTTGTTAACCCATAGTCTCATAAATTTATTATAGTTTAAAAGTAATAGTTGAGGTAGAATAGAAACATTAGTCTGCATAAGCTGCTAATATAAAATAAAAGGTTTTGGTTTGTTTGTTTGCATAGAGTTCAGCAAGTTCAGCGAATGGGTTTGAAGATCTGATCCACAGGGTTTTAGTGACCCCCTTTGCTGGACAGCTTTAGTGTCAACCTGATACAATTGGGTTGAGGGAGCCTCGATTGAGGAATTTCCTCCATTGGACTGGACTGTGGCCTTGTCTGTGGGGTGTTTTCTTGATTGTTGAGTTCTGGGAAGGTCCGGCCCACTGTGGATGGTGCCACTCCTGTATAAGAAAGCAGGTTGAGCAGGACCAAGGGAGCAAGCCAAGAAGCAGAGTTCCTCCATGGCCTGTGCTCCAGTTCCTGCCTCCAGGTTCCTACCCTGAGTGCCTACCTTGGGCTGCCTGATGAGCTGTCACTGGGAGATGTAAGACAAATAAACTCTTTCCTCCCCAAGTTGGTAATGGTCAGAGTATTTCATTACAGCAATGGAGGAAAACAAAACAAAACAAAACAAAAAACAGAGCACCCCACAGGATCTTATCTCAGGGCTCAGCATTCATCTAAGTTTTACACATTTTGTTTGCTCTTGGTAAATATGGGGAAAGAGAATGCAAAGGAACTCTTAGGAGATTTTGAGGGCCAGGTCTGGTGTTGGTTCCTGATCCACTGTTCAAACATTTACATGTTTATATCCATCTGAAAAGAGTGTTATTTAATGAAGGCATGCATTATGTCAGCAAAGAAGAAGAAAGCACAGATAGCAACATGCTACACTGATAATGTTGGAGCAAAGTATTTTACGAGTGATTAAAGCATCGGACCCCACAGTCTGTACAGGGTGATGTATTCACAGATTCCCATGTGACAAATCAGACAGGCAGTTTAATGAATACGACCATAAGGTGATGAAGGGGATTTCATGCCATGCCAGAAACTAGAATGTACTGTATACATATTTAGTGTTTAAATAATATTAATCTTTTGAATGGATATCTATTTTCCCTGGGTATGCTCACAAATTCACTCAAACTGGATTGTTACCTTAAAGTAAAAATTATGAACTGTATAACTATCAGAAGTATTATTCTCACTCCTCTTCAGAGATGTACTTTTTTATGCAATAATTGAGGATTAATATAGACAGAGAGCTAGACAAAATATAGAAGTTAAGTGTCCATGGAGTGTCCACCCACAATTGATATACCTGAAATACACCCCCACACATAAGGAACATTATGGAGGAGCAGCTGCATGCCAGCTGCTAGACAGTGTCTGACACCATGAAACAGAAAAGCTTCATCCATGAAATCTCAACAATATGGTTGCCTAAACAAGTCCTACATCATGAACTACTCGCATGCCAACAAGGATGGGAGAAATTCCAAAAGTCTCACATCTAAGTGAAGAGCCACAGGCAACTGGTATCTGCTGAGAGAGGAAGAATCTGTTTTCTCAGGTCTGAGCTCCCTGATAGCTTATCAGCCCTAAACACTTATAAATACTAACAGACTAAATGGACTCAGTAGATTGTTTACACACACACACACACACACACACACACACACACACACACACACACACTCCAATAATAATAATTAAAGAAAAAGTAAGGAGACAGATAATTTTAGGGAGTGTGGAAGGAGTTGGGAAGGGAAGGTATTGAAAATAGGTACTGAAAATAATGGAAATACAGTATCCATGCATGAAATTCTCAAAACAATTTTAAAAAGAAGATAAAATAGGCACAATATCTAGGTAATTTTGTTTGGAAAATAACTTTTTTGACATGACAAATAAGTATTTTTTGAACAAAAAGTTGAACTTCATTAATGTTAAGTTTCATTTCTGCAAAATACAGTTTAGAGATGAAATGATAGACCACAGACTTGGAAAAATATTTCAAAACACACATCTGAAAATGGGCTGGAACCAAAATATATCACATAAAACTTAGTAATAAGAAAAAAAATCAATTGAAAGTGGGAAAATATCTGAAAAATACTTCACTAAAGATGATGGGTGGCTAATGAAAAGAAAGGCTTTCTCCTCATGTCTCTGAAGAGTAATCATGGTCCCATCTCAGAGACCTCTTCACCTGCAATGGAAGCCCCTTCATTGAGATGATGGGACTAAATCAGAAATTAGACTCATCCTTCGGTAAAGGAACTGTGGATTTTCGCAAAGCAAAAGACAGCACAAGAAAATGAGAAGTCCAGGGGCGAAGCTGGGGAATTGTAGACCTTCAGGGTTCTTCGCAGACATGAAGAACTTGGCAGTTCTCAGCAGAAAGACGAAGAAAGTAGGTACTCCATCCTGTACACCAGGCTTTTCCAAATGTCAGGGATCTTTTTCTTCAAGGTGGTTCCACTCCTGGTTCTCTAAACATGTGAGACACCTGCTCTGCTCATGAATGATTCTTCTTTAACTCTAGTCAGTATTTACCATTCACCATAGTATACAAAAATTATTCCTTCAATCAAAGGGTAAATGGAATATCCAGGGTAAGCTGAAGAAATTGTTGCAGAGGAAGTGGAAGACAAATAAGAACAAAACCTGTCTGCTAAGAAAAGCATTTTAAAAGAAACTATCTATGACTTTCTGCTACAGAAAATTGTTCTTTAAATTAGAAACAACAGAAAAGTGTGGGGGAATTAGGTAAGGACTGCAAAGATTTGGAAGTGGTAGCTTACACCTTCAATCTCAGCATTCAGGAAGCAGAAAGAGGAAGTTGAGACTGAGGTCTGTTTCCTCTTCGTAGCAAGTTCCCAGGTCAGCTATCTCCCTCAAAAAAATAAAATAAAATAAATAAAAATAAGTAATAAATACATTTAAAAAGGCATGAGATGAATGTGTTTATGGATATGTAAATATGTTTATGTGTTAAAGCACTCTGAAAACATCTGTCGGATTCTCAAACAAGAATTTGGGAATTGCATGAAATTCTACTGTTCACATAGTGCCTGGATGATATCTCCATGTGGTACATTACTATTCCTCCTGGGGAGAAGATCACATGATCATTCTGAATGACTACTAAGATGATAGGAACTTTTATCTCTTAAAACACTAAGTCTTGTAGCCATTTTAAGAGCCAACACTCACAGACATTTTGAAGGATTTGGGTACAATCACAACTCTGCCATGGTATGCCTGGGTATCATAATCATATTTTGCTATTATAAGATACAACGTGGCTCTCCTTGGTGCTCAGAAGAATTTGAAAATGAAGCAGATTGTTTTTTCTCTGGCAATACAGTGTAAAAATTGATGATTTAGGCTATGAGGCATTAACATGGAAGAAGTCAAGGTTTACTTCCTGGCTCATGAGATTTTGCAGAATGATTTACAGCTTCCCAAAGTAGACATGTTTTGTCATTACCTGGCACTGACAGTTGCCATCAGATTCAGAAAGGTAACATTGTTTTACAGTCCTTAGCAGCTCTCAGAAGTCTTTTATAATTTTTCAAAACACTCTGCTGATCCAGCGGAATACTGCAGCAGTTCTGGGTAAAATTCAAGGTCCAAATAGGATCAAGAAATACAGAATGTATACATGTACATGCTGGTGCAGGCCTTTAATCCTAGCACTGGGGAGGCAGTGGCAGGCAGATCTCTGAGTTCAAGCAGAGCTGAGTCTGGTCTACTTAGCAAGTTCCAGGTTAGCTGGGACTACAGAGACGCCCTGTCTCAAAACAGAAAGAAAGCAAAAGAAGGAAGGAAGGAAGGAAGGAAGGAAGGAAGGAAGGAAGGAAGGAAGGAAGAAAGGAAGGAAGGAAGGAAGGAAGGAAGGAAGGAAGGAAGGAAGGAAGGGAATACAGAATGCCTGGTATAAGGAACGGTAGGAAGTGTTCAAGCTTTCTCGGTATAAGCTTCCATAAGAATTCATAATATAACAGCCAGTCCTTTTCTTGCAGTCCTCGAAAATTTCTTAAACAATGAAAAAATTGAAACAACTTGAGTGTTTAAAGAATTTAAAAGTCATCCTAATTCACCACCTACAGCCAAGACCATGAAGCTACTAAGCATGCTTATTAGCAACAACTCCCATATACAATAATTGGCAAATATTTCTCTTCTCTATTGTTATACTACTAATTATCAGCTTAGAACTTATTTAATTCTCAAGTTTTATAATGAACAATGACAAATTATTGACAACCCCCCCTTTGGCCTACCCTGTAAATAAAGAATTTTTCTTACTGATCCCTTACCAAGGGTCTCAGAAACTGTTTATCCAGTTAGAAAAGTCTAAAATTCAGTTTTAAGCTGGTGTACAAATTAAAAAAAAAAA